TGCTGAAGAAATCCCAGAATTTGTGGATATAACTCGAGGTATGCAGAGCTGGAACAGAGTTTGGAATAAAAGCTTTGAGATGAGTTAACTGCCCTCTTTGCTTCAGGGAGGTGTTAAACCTGCTCACAAACCTACTTTATTTCAGTTTTATTTTGATCATCCCATGAGAAAGTAGAGGGAGGATGACAAATTGGGACAATTACTGAAAATACAAGTAGGGGAGTGCTTAGGAACTGCCCCATGGGGATTGCACTAACAGGAGAAAAAAATTGCATTCATGTACATGGGACTGGTTTTGTTTACAGTTTCTAAAACCTTGCTGAAATATGCTGTGGATCAGTGCCCTAGTTGCTTTTTAGTGTAGTGCTTTTATGATAGGAACCTGTTCAGACTTTTACTTAAGTTGACAGATTTTCATGTACTTCTGCATGACTTGGATTAAATTATATTTCTTGGTTTTGTGCAGATTTGGATAATGTTTATTTTTCTTCTAAAAGGTGTTATTTTTGCTTTATGAAATGTGATGCACTGAAGAGTTTTTACTGAATACAGCGAGTTAGAGGTCAAGAGTATTTCGACTTCAGAATTAAAATCGGCATTATTTCTACCTGTCACTCATGCTGCTTTTTTTCCTAAATAAAGAAATTCTGAATAATATTCCTGAAAGTTGGATAAGACAAACTTTCTTTCTTAGTAGCTGATCTTATGGGGAATTCTTCCCACAAGTGTCTAACTACTTATCTTTGCTGACCCTCCTAACATAGGAGAAACATAACTAAATGTTTCTTTTCAAGGGTAGAGACTTCCATATCAGGATACTGTTACCAACAGACTTTCAGCTGAAAAATGCAAGGTAAGATAGTTTCATGATAGCAATTTGTAAGTGTATGTAATAAAAGTTTATTTTGATAAAAGCAATGATGGATATGCATATGAATTATTATTTTTTCCAGTATTAGTGTTGGTAATTAATTCTTACTGGTTTCAACTTAACCTTGCAATGAAATTGTACATAATTTTTTGTTAATTGTATGGCATCAGTGTTACTAAACACTGACAATAAACATTGCACATATCAAAATATTTTGTTGTTAATTAACTCTGAAAACTGTTGTAATTAATTGGTTGTATTTATATATAAATCAACATATTTGGAGAAATGTTCATTTAAATCAGATTATTTATATGTCACCATTTGGGAAACAGAAAATTTAGTGTAAAGTTGTAAATTCAAGCACTGATGTACGTGAAGTTTAAAAAGCTACGCTAACCATCATTTTCTCTTTCCTGTTAATATGTATTAATTTGCATTACCCAACTTTTCTTTTAAAAACCCTGTTCTTATTACTGTGAGTGTTTATCACAGTAATATGTGAGTATACTGCGTGGATGCACACATACCTGGATTAGTTTTTAACATTGCACTCCATAGGTCTGCCTAGGCCAGCCTGTGCTGAACTGTGAACAGATGTGGTATTTGATAGCTTAATTTCATTCTAGGTCAGATACTTAAAACCACATTATAGGTAACTTTGACATTTCCAGGATATCATTTTTAAATATTGGTATATTTTATGAAGTCATATTAGCTTGCAAGAATTATGTTGTTGTTTTCAGCAAAGAATAGAGGCTGTTGTAGGTAAATGCTTAATTTTTAATGGGCTTTGGGATAGTGACATTTGGAAGTTTTAAGTAACTTTGTATATGGGAACTCAAAGAGATTTTGAAGTATTGTTTGCTTCCTTTAGTTTTTTTGAAGAAATTATATTATATTGTGGCGTAGCAGACTTTCTGATCTCTTCTAAAAATCATGTACTGTGAATTTAAAATTTATACAAAATACCGTTTGCCTAGGATAGAGTGTAGCTGGCACCTGAAGAAGATACTGCATGGATATCGGCCTATTTTAAAGCAGGTATGCAACTTTTAAAATAATTTCTGTTTACATGTACACTTATAACAATTCTAAAAAGCTCATACTCATACACCTATTCTAAAAGTATTAAAGAACTCTCCTTTCATTGTATAGCCACGATTTATTATGAAACGCTTGAGGATTTGCATCCTAAAGAGAGATTTGCAACCTAAAAAAAGATTGATAGAAATTAGTAAATGTTTATTTTTATTCAAGCTTTATTTTTATGAAGATTGAGATAGAACGCTTTTTAATGAATGGCTGCTGACATTTTACTCAAATTTTTCTTTAATCTCTCAACTAGAAACAGATTTTTTTCTCTTCTTTTCTATATTTATTTTTTTTACAAACTGTTCATAATGCAAAGGAGAGAATTCACATTAATTATTGATAGATCTAGCTCATTCTGTGTTGTAGACAGCCAAGGAATCTAGGGTAAACCTTGCTATCCAGAAGAAAATTTGGAGCAAGGATACAACAGCGCTGCCATGATGAAGAATATTTTGTTTCTAAGAAGGCATCTTTGCCACATGTGGGAGTTGAGACACTGTACCTCATGGACTGTGCACTCCTTTGTAGGACGAGGGTTGTGAGTTGGGAGTAACCAAAGATCCAGAGCTGAGGAAACAGAAGTGTAAATATCTGAATATAGACAGAGATCCTTAATCCCGTATAGCATCTAAAAGCACACGGGTCTGGAGAGTTCCTAAAGAGAATGTAACCAACTAAGAAATGTTTCTGAGTGACTCTGAAGCTTCTGTTCTCATTGGTGAAGACTAAAGTCTTCGTAAGCGTCTTCGTAAGCACATAAAGTGTAAAATCTTTATAAGCTATATAAATGTGTAATGTGACATCATGTGGTGAAGGTGATGGTTAATTTTCAGTAGTGTTTCCTGTACTCTGGGAGATTTGTTCTGTAATTGAAATATTTAAACATGTGGTATACGGTTGGGGTTTTATGTTAGTTGCTTTGACAATACTAGAAAAATAGATAGACTGAAATTCTTTACTACTAAAAGTTATGAGTTGAAGAAAATGAACTAATACTGTGTTCCCTCCAGAGGTTGCACAGCTGTCCAGATCTCATCAGTTTTATGGTGGAGCTGAAAACTATTTTGGTAAGTGACAGTATGTATATGTGGGAGACAGGATGTTCTTACAGCTTTGGTTTTCAGTTCCAGTTTTTTACAGTTTGCTCTTTGATAGGTGGATTTATGTTTGGTTGTGATTTTTTTAAGAAGAGGTGATTTTGTATGCATGCTGTTCATACAATATTTGTATAAATGTCCTTTAGGATTTTAAGTGACTGTACTCTTGGGGAATTGGACTGTTACAGAAAAATTAAAATCCTGGCAAGGGATCTCAGTATAGAGCCATCCTCTTTACAGTGATTTTCTTGGAATTCCTGGTATTGTCCAGATGGTAAAGGTGGCTTATCATACAAAGGATTATACAGTCAGTGAATTGCTGAAGGTGCTTTCACCTATGTGACAACTTGGCCAATAAATGCAGAAAGTTGGGGGGTTTTTTATAGTTCAGAGACTGCTGTTTATTCCTTTTTTTAAAAGTTTTTCTAACCTTGGATTGACAGTTTCTTGTCTGCTAGTAAAACATTATGCTATAAGCATTCTTGGCAAAAAATGCTTGCATATTATTTTTATTTCTACTTAACGTAGAAATAAAACACAGTTAAGTATTCTTCAAAACAACCGCAAAAATACACTCCTGGTATTACACTACTGCCGGGAATGCCCTTCCTCAGTATTGGTTCAATCCCTGCCAAACTGGATTACACCAAACCAGGCAAAGGTGCTTGGAACAGGACTGAATAAGAATGTCTACATGTGGCTATTTTGGAATATTCCACAATAGTTATTCCAATCTATTTGCCTGAATACACAAACACTCGGAAAATGAGAATGCAATGAAAGTATAATTCATTCAAAATAGTAAAATAGTAAAATACTCAGTGCAGGTAGTAAAAAGAACAGGAGACGCTGTGGGAGAACTGGGCAGAAATGATTGTTATACTTATTTTTTTATTATATTTGTTATTTTGTTTAAATCTGTTTTAAATTATTATTAATTTTATTATGCATTTAATTAATTTATTTATTTGTCCTGTAAGCATAATTGTAACTTAAGCACACTTTTAAAGAACAAGTAGCACAACACAAATGTGGAACATAAGGTTTGGTTTTGTTTTTATCTGTAACATGGCATTATCTTTTCAATAAAAATTTCTTCTTGAGACATTACGACATACTTGTAATGTCTTGATGAGTATCTGTACCAAAACTTTCTCTCTGGGATCCTATGATGTTAAAACTGAGAAACTGGATTTTATTTTTTTTTTATTGCTATATAAAGCTGTATATAGCTACTAAAAAGATCATATATGTGTCTTTGTTTGTGGCTGTGGAGCCCAGGAGACAGCTGTGGGCTTAATAGAACCTTCTTTTGAAATGTTCTTTCAGTTAAGATGCTTGACTTCAAATTTATTAGCTGAAAAAGAGGCATATTTGATATTTGCATCTGAAGACTATGTTGTCAACATCTGTGGGATTTTTTTAAAATTGCAGATGTTTTGATTACCAGTATCTGAAGTAATTTACCAAACAGCTTCTTTGTCTGCTTTAGCTGGAGGCTATAACAAAACAAATGCAGTGTGCAGTTAATTTTACATAAGCTTAATATTTTTGAATGAATTGCAAAAGTCATATGACTAAATAGATGCAAAAATATTGAAATCTGTCTTAATGATGTTTTTAATGTTCTTTTAAACAGGAAATTGCTTTAAAGAATACACAAGACCTGCACATACCACGGCCGCCAGAATACTACTCCTGTCTTGTCAGAGATCTAGAAATATTGGGTTGGAATAAGTATGTTTCTTATTTAACAGATATTATCTTTAGAATATCTGTTCCTCTTTTTTTATTTGTGAGTTGAACATATCAAATGTACTTGTTCTGCTAAATTTTTCAGTTTAGAAACTGGTTTTGCTTTAAAAACTCTGCTTTGTTTTTAATTTAAAAAAACCCAACAAACCTGTATCAACTGAAGGTATATTGTCAGTCTCAAACAACCGAGCTGAAAGGTGAGGTGCTACTACTAAGAAATCAATTCTTCTTTGACCTATAAACTATTGGCATAGTAAGCATATTGAATACAACTTTGTTGTGGTTTAACGTGTCAGAGAGCTAAACCAACCACACAGCCTTTTGCTCACCCAGCCCCACGCTGCTGCCTCTGGGCACCTTCTCATTAGGGTCTTGAATGAGTGCAAACAGATTATATTATTCACAGTCTCAGATACTCTCAGATGGGCTCCTAGAACAAATTTAATTTCATCCTCTTACAGAGAAAAACAAGTTTTTTTTCCTCATACTTCCTATAGAAATCTGAAGGAACACACAGTTGTGATCAAGTATGCAAGGCCCATGTGGAATTTTTTCAGAAATCTGCAAAACTTTCTGTTTTGCAGACTTTTACTTGAAAGACTTTAACTGCCATCCCATGTGCCACCACTGGCAACTTCTCTGACACTGTCTTCTACACCAGGGAGCCTGGAATGGACTGATCTCTGTTCTTTCCCCTAGAACCTCCCGGAGACCTCTATGGTGTTGAAGAAGGTAGTTGTTTCTGTTTAGGGAGGCATAAAGGAAATATAGTTGAAGGCTGTCTTTAAGTGATAATATGCAATTAATCTCACAATGCCTTCTTTCAATGGGTTTAGATGAAAGATTGTATAGGATGAGAATCTACTTTTTAGTTTCAGTAAAATGAAAGTTAAAAAACAAGTAATTTGTGGTTTTCAACAAGACAAATCTACTTTTACCTGAGTCTTGGATGGCAAGTAAACTTTAACAAGTGTTTATTTTGCTAAATGAAATAAAGAAGCCTTGGGTTTAAGAATAGTTTTGAGTTTTCTCACCTGATTTGTATATAAATAAATAACATGTAATTAACATTAAATAGGAATTTGCTTTGAAGGCTCACAGTTATTTAAAGATTTAAAACATCCTTGTTAAATCAGCTGAAATCTTTTCAGTGATTTCCATTATTAAGTACGTAGTTGTGCCAGCTGATTACATACTCTATTCCAATTTCTCATATTCAGGTCTGGGAATACTAGTTAAAATTTCCTAAACACATGGGAAATACATTTTGAATCATGCCTACTCTCCCAAAATGAAAAAACCACCACAATCCTTTAAAAAGCCTGTGCCAGCGAAACAGACACTGACATACAATAAATATCATCTAAATACATAAAATGTACTATATTTATAATTTGATATATAATTGTATACCTAAATGTACTAAAAACACACTTTCCAAATACAAGTTAGTAGCTTATCTCAAAACGTGATATTTCCTCTGACTTGTTGTACATACAAAACATCCAGTGGCTTATTATTAAAAAAGCACATCAGTGTTTTATCAGAGAGCATGCTTCTAGGGCAGAATTTGACCAGGTTTCTAGGCAAAGATAGTCTTCATGTAGATGTACAACTTAAGCTGTGCTTTTGTCCACTGTAGTGATGTACTGCAGTAAACATACCCCTCTTGATTGACTTATGTTACAGATAAAGTCTATTTGATAGGGCTTTTTTGGCTGGGGAAGACAATCACTTAATTGGGCTAGGCTGGACATAGGGGATTGTATGTGGTTTACTATGAGTTGGAAGAAGAATAATCTAGAGAGGTGATTTGAAGTACGTTAGTAAGTTACACCTCTAACTGTAGTGTGATTTTAACAATATAATGAACTACTACTAAGAAGGCCTCTTAACCTAGACTGATTTTGAGTTGCAGGTGATGTGTATTTGCATGTTATTTAAAAACATCCTGCTATGGACTTTCAGCACAAAACTAAGCATTCAGTACTGGCAGTAAGGATCAATCACTGCTCACATCTTGGGAAACCTTCAGCTTTATTTATCAGGAATTTTTTGTTGTTGTTGTTGTTGTTGTTGTTTTTTTTTTTTTTTTTTTTTTTTTTTTTTTTTTTTTTTAGAAAAGATCTGGCTTGTTGTGGACCCTAGATTTACTTTTTCCTAATGAGTTTTGGGTCATGCTGTAAGCTGACTGCATCCAAATCCAACTGAAAAACTGAAGGATATTTTGTTTGAAAGAGAATCAAAGCAATAGGCTATGGTTCCTTTACCTCTGAAGTGAGTTAAGAAGCTCTTCAGGTATGGCACAAATTTGGTGTGTTCTAATGGCTTTCATCTAAGGAATATGTGAGGTTTCTCAGAAACATATTGAAGACATTATCTGCAATAATAATCTTATATCTCTTTCCTCCACTGAAAGTACAAACAGCAATAAGGATTGCATCACAGGCTGCTGTGATGAGGTAAAATCACTTTCTCTGTGATACAGAAAACTTGATTCTTTGACCTAATTTAGGTGTGGGGGAGAGTGAATATGCTTTCATATTCAAATACTTGTACACAAAAGTCACAGTTAAACAGGTTATAAAATTGTACCAAATTTCCAACACTAAGTGCCATCCTAACATCTGAGGAGTTCAAAAGAGGATACTTCCTTTATTTTTAGAACATGGCAAAATAGCAGCACAAACCTACTCAGCTGAGGTGGGAGAGTACACATGTAGTAGTATTAAGCTATATGAAAGGCTGTTCTAATACTGTCTTATAAACTCATTATCTGATACAATGATAATGTCTTGGGAAGGTAAATTATCAGCTATAAAGCATTTGTAGGACTCTTATCACCCTCATGTGGATTCATAAATGTTGCCAGTATCTCTTAAGTCCATGGTGTGAGTCAGGATCTCTCAAGTCTCAATGCATTTCTGCTTGATACTTGCCAAGTTTTTTCATAGAAACTATCTTCTCCTCTTGCCTTTGCCATTTCCAAGGGAACCCTGCCTTGGCGTGTGCTCTCAATCATTTGTGTGTTATGCTGCATTACAGTACTTCAGAGATTTCAATGAGGCTTTCCATCTTTATGGTCATTCCATTTTTTTCTATGTGATAAAATGGAGCCTAAAGAAAAATAAAGGTTTATATAACTGAAATACCACCTATGCAAACAATTCCTTAGTTGATTATACAATTGTGAAGAAATTCATATGACTTTTGCAGCATTGTCCAACTTTCTCCAGTCCTATAGAATTGACCCTTTCATCTCTTCTTACCCAAAGAATAGTAGAGTGATATTACAGAACATGTAGCCACAAAGCTACTGAGTTCCTTTTTTCTGTCCTAAATGGAAAATTGAATCCTCCTTCGCTCCCTGGAGGCAGTTTATTGTTTTTACATTCTTTTGAGAAGAAGGAAGGCTAGCTATGAATTTTCTTTCCAGGCATTCTTCAGCCATGTATGCCCCTTGTATGAGGAGTTTTTTATTCCTTGGTGTTCCTGTTTGTGAAAAAGTTTGAAACAGTAGAGAACGTTTTACTAGCAAACCTCTTAAGTATGTGGTTTGAAATGAAGAATACTTAAAAGGTGTTGTGTTGCTTAGGTTAAATAGCTGTCTTCTAACAGCTAGTTAGAAGTCAAAAATTAAGTAAAAGCTGTAAGAATTTCCAGATTGGTCTGTATTGTAGTGGTGCTTCATAGCAGTGATGATCTAGTTTTTTTTTTTTTACTTTTTTTTTCTGTTGTCTCCTAGCTCAGTGAAAATCACATTTTAAACTGGTTTTAAAAGATACTTTAAATATGAATTATAAAACTAAAAACATGTTAAAAAATGAATAATGGGCAGAACTTGAAAATCATCTTATGGTGTATCTCTCTATACATAATTAAACAGGTAGCCATTATTGGTGTTCCTAGCACCTTTTCCAAATGCTTACATTTTTCTTTAAAGGTTGTCTAATTTACACTGTGAATAAAACTGAATGTGAAGGTTCTTTACAAATATGACTGGAATAATTATGTTGTCGCTGTATCTTTAATATAATCATGTGCATATATTTATATTTTAAATATATAAATAGGCGCACACACGTATATATGTTTATTGCAGAGGCTGTCAGGTTGTTAAACTAATTGTAAAAAAAAATACTGAACCCTGAAGGATTTAAAAAATAGATTTTAACATATGTATGTCCATTGCTATCTAAGAAATAAAAATAATTTTTTAATCTCGTTCCTTCCCACTCCATATAGAGTAAGGAACTGCAAAAATGTTTAATTTTATACTAAAATAATCCATACTTTTCTGGCACCTCAAGAGTGAAGTGGTCCGAACAAGATGACTCTCAGAACAGATAATTTTAAATCCTAAACACCTTGACAACATCCCTTTAATTTTTCCATTCTCTTTTGCTATCTACCCTCACAGTGCATTGATGTAGGCACCGGTTGTGCTTTGGTTTGGGCACTGCTATATATTTTATTGCAGTAACCATTCTGTGTCTTAGCTGCTGGTTTAGAATTTCCCCACCCCAGGCAACAGTAGATGGTGGGATGGGATATAGGTTGTTCCTTATCTTTATAAAACTTTGTGATATAGTTTTGAGGTAAAATTGGAACATATAGAGAGTAATGATTTTTTTTCAGTTAGAGGAAGAATGCTCTAATTCTTTCTAAATAAATTGAGTTTAATTGACTGCAGTTAAATTAGACTTTTATCAAGGCTTGTATTTCTTTCAACTCTTGTGGAGAAAAGGAGTGTCAAAATACTCAGAAATCTGTAGGACTACTTAATATTACATTAAAGTTAATCAGCATTAAAAATGAAATAATATCTCTCTTAATACCATTACTGCTTTTTCCATTTGTATTTTTCAGTTCCCTCATATGGAGGCTATGTCATTTATGGAGATCCCTTTCTTTTATTCTTTTCGCTTCCTTCCTAGGAATGCATACACGCTTTGGTGTATGTCTACTTGTATAGTCTTCTACAACTCCACTGGCAGTTTCTGTGGAAAGGACCATTTTTCACAGCGCGCTGACTCAAGTGATTGGGCTAGTATGTGATGGTTTAAAAAACCCAAATGTTAAATAGGTCCAGGTGATACGTTGTACAATAAACTTGGACTGCTTTTTATCTTTACACAAGAATGACATAATAAAAATGCCAAAATATCCACATGCCCAGTTCGCTGGTAAATACATGGAGAAGTTTGAACCTTTCTGGCAGTTGTTGAAGCTACTCAGCAGAACATATTTCTAGTGAACAATGTATTTTACAGTTGTATTCATCTTCATTGTTGTGGGAATCGCAAATGAGTGACGTTTTAAGTAAAGAGTCAGTGATTATGTCAGAAGTTTTAAAACTTATTTACGTTTAGTATGTACTTGCTACTTGCTTGGGTGCATGTATACTGTGTAAAACCCTCATGAAATGAAGGCAAATCATAAAAAGAGACTCATTTTGTACCTGTTTGGGTACTGGTTTCTGCAGAAAATCAATTTCCGGATATGAACCAATATCCACTGAATTTTCCCCAATAATAGTATTGATAATAAAAGAGAACTTCATTGAAGAGAAAAGCAAATCAAGAGCATAAAAGTCTCATACAGTAAGAAACTGCAGAAAAGGATCAAAGATTTGACAGGAAGTTTAATGTGTACATAAGTAGAGGCTGACAGGAACATGCTGTGTGTGTCAAAGGTTCCAGTGATGGAAAACTGAAACACAGTGCTCACTGACCACAGCATGAGCCTTGACACACGTTGTAAATAACCCAAAGATATATGACTGCATTAAGCAGTAGACTGCTGTATTAACAGCAGTAAATCTAGAGCAGCAGAAATGGTTAGCATATAGAACCTCCTCTGATTAATATTTGTGAAAGACTAATAAGAGTATTGCAGACAATTCAAACTGTACTTCTTGCAATACTGCTAGAGTTTTCTTTTCTTTTTCAGAGTCGCATATGTGGATAGTGGTCTTACCACGATCAAGCTAAAAGCTGAAGACTCTTGTGGTCGACAGCATCTCATCACTCTGAAGTTAAATGCAAAGGTGAATTTATGTGGGAGAAAACATTTTAGGCTTCCTTGAAATGCATGGATTTTTCTTAATTCATAAGGATTTTAGGGCATTGGTTGGTTTGTTACTATGACAGTTCTGCAAGATAATGTCATGGGGGTTTTGAGAAAATTTTTTATCTAAGTAGAGTTTTCAGACTAACTATATTTAAAATTAATATTGCATTATGGTTATCTGTAAGAATCTTTTCATATAAAACTGTGCATGAAGTGAAAAACACTTTATGATTTTGCAGTTATTTTACTGGTTTACAGACAAAGCCATCTGGGAAACTTTCATTCATTATCACTCCATCCAGAGACTATGCATATAACATGAATTAGAGGATGTTGGGATGCTTCTTTAGCAAGTCTTACTGTTACAGCTATAGATGTAAAGATTTATGACAAACTGACTACAGAAGTTCCTTATGTTAAAAAAAGTATTTCTTTTTAGTCTAAATAATTGGCTGCCTTTGACAGTGCTTGCAAAGCAAATCCATGGCATGTGCAGAAGCAGAAAAATTTTAATTTGTCCTCATACTTAGAACTGAACTCAAATTGCAATGTTTCTTCATAGAATTTCTCATTTCAAGGCATAAATCTCTTATAACAAACTATGAATATCCAGGCTGTATGGTGACAATTGTATGGTAATAGCTGTTGTCTTCAGAAAATCAGTCTACAGGAAAAAGTGGATCCAAAAGTGTCTAAACATTGCTGTTTGGGACTATCCATGGTCCACCACCTGGAGTAATAATCTTGAAGGGATGAGGAGTGGGCACGGTATTGTAAGATTAAATTTCACCTTCACAGACATCCTGTATTCCTTTTAAATACCACGAGTTTTTTAGTTTTACATACAACAAGCTAATTTTACCTTAGAGGGGAACAAGGAGCCTGTAGAAAAACTACTGTTCGGGAATTGAGGTTGCTAAAGTGGATTTTAAAAACAGAGTAAAACTATCCTACATGCACAGAGTAATGAATGCATAATTAATTTGCTAGTCAGTCCATTGTTAAATAAATTGATGGAAAAATATATTGCGAAGTACAATTATGGTGTATTAAACATGTGAGGAGTGTAACCAGACTGTATCGTTATTGCTTATAAAGGAGCTGCTATCCCATACTTGGTATGACACTAGAAATTAAGTGCAGCCTGTTGCCCCTAGGATTTTCTTGATTTTATGATGACTGAAGTAAGGTATTTTAACTATTTGGAAGTATAAAGGTGCCAAAAAAAAAAACCCAACCCCAAAAAACCCCAAACAAATGAAAAAAACCACCCAACCACCAAAACAGTTCAACACCCATTTTTACCAAGCAGCTACCATGGCCAAACAGTATTACACTTACGCATTGACTGGTTCTGTCTAGCCTTAACTTATCACTGTCCTCTAAGGGGAATTGAGTTACCTGCTTTTGTTCATGTAAAAACTTGTGTATTTTCTTTACAGTAATAAAATAGCTGAAGTTGAGACTCCTAATAGCAGAAGAAAGCACCATCTAACAAATAAAGATATAGTGTAGTAGACTAGATTATCCAACTTGTGTGTTGTTACCAGTAATCATCAATTCTAATTTTTTTTTTTCCCCCAAGCGATTGTTATGATGAAGGATCAATTGCTTGTCCTTTTTAAACCGTCTGGCATTTAAACTTGCCACAATAGAAAATTTATATGTGAAACGTGGTTTTGGTGACATGGGGATTTGATTTTCCTTCATATACATATCTAATACATTTGAAAAGACTTTGCTGAAGTATTTTTTGAAGGGATTTCTTCTGATAACCTGCTTTACTAAAAGTATATTTATTTTTATTATGTTCTTTCTTTGATTAAGGTTAGTATGTGAGCTAAACCTCTCCTTCCAGCATCTATTGCTGGCTCTTGTCTGTATGCTGGCAGATAGGTTTGTTGAGCCTTGTCCTCACAGATGCCATGCAGTGAAATGAGCTTATAAGCCTGCCGACAATGTTTTCAGGAAGAAGCTCTTCAATAAGTGATTTAGGAAATTCTTTTTCATAAGGTTATCATGTATTGAGATAATCCCCTAAATATTCCTTTGCTGTCATTCTGAACGGTTCGGATGTGTTTTGAGGACTTTTCCTTAATGCATTGTCAAATGTTTCACCTGTTATCCTTGTCTTAATGTGCTTTGTGTTAGGAACAGTCCTTTGAAAACACTCAGTCTCTATAAACTGCATTTGTAAAGTGTCTAGGAAACTTGGGGTGATAAGTTTAAACCTGGAAGACTTGAGAATAGTCATAGCCTAGGTAGGCAAGTTAGGCAAATCATGTGCTACATAATTTTGATTTTTGTAAATAGTTAGACTTAAACCTCGTAAGAGGATATACTGTTTAATGCTTAGATTACTTGTGAAATAGTTTTCTGATTTATTTGGTTGAAAATGCCTGGTTCAGAAATCTTTATCCATTCACAATTTAAATAAATTACTAGAGAAGTTTTCAGAAAACAAAGCATGCATCTTTGCAAGTATAAAACCAAATACACTGGCTTTTATTTATCAGATTTCATTTTGTATTGCATGAGAAGCAGGTTGGGTGCTTGCTATTACAGATCCCAAGAATTCAAATGGGCCACTGCAAGAATTTGCATGCCATATAGTAATCAAGATGCTTTGGTAGTTATCTGAATGATCTGTCAACGGTTATGAACATACTTTTTCTAGATGAAGTTAGCTGCATGCCCAAAAATACAAATATTTTGTTTAATAATTGCTTAAATTGTTCTAAAGAATAATGGGATGATTTCTGACATATACATTTGAAGGTAACTAATAACATGATGTCATTGATATGCTCTGGTATAGTATTTTAAAATACAGTCTCCTGGGGAATCGCTTACCTTATTTTATATAGGATTTCACTCTGCAAGGTCTAAAAACATTATGTACATATGTGTAGAATCATCGTGGAGTAGTTCTTGGCAATTATCTGGTGCACAGTACAATATTGTGCTCGTACAGAAAATTTGCCTAAAAATGCAGGGGAAAAGTGCTGCAGGTTTTTTTGTTTGGATTTTTTTTTAAGTAATATAAAGTTAGTAGAATCTGTTTGCAAGCACTTGTTCAAAGGCACCCTACAAAAGACTGCATAAAATGAATTTACTTACCAAGAAAGTAAGCATATAATTGGCTAGTGCTGCTGGGATTTAAATGAGGTAGTCCTAAAACCAATCCTACAGAAAAATTGGTCTGTCTTAGTTTGTTCCAGGCATACTTTTACACATTGAAAACAAGTTTATTTCTATGCAAACAGTGAAGTATTTCATGAAAAATAATACCTACAATACAAAAACACTAACACTACAGTGCCTGCAGTACAAGAACGGTAACACTACATAAAAGAAGCTGTAGCAGCTTTTGTGGATATACATTTCTAAGTTGTAACCACCTCCTGTCCAAATTAGTTGTTTCGTTTCTCGTGCTCTGTCACTGTTATTTAACTTGTCTACCGCCAATTTGATGGAATGGTAAAGCACAAGATATTCAAGTTGTAGGAGTTGTCTTCAGGAAGTGGATACCTAACAGAAACCACAAGTGAAGGCAAATTAAAAAGCAAGTTTAAACAAATTTCTGTGAAATCCGTAAGTCCACTAGATTATTATTAAAATCAAAGCAATGAAGTATGGATGCTTTAGGGAATTTAGGTCTCCTTTATACTCTTTGCCATAGAGAACAATTTGAAACTAATTACTGTAGAATTACATTTTACAGAAAATAAAGACAAATTTTAAAAATTATGATTTTTTTATTGCAATCTTCATTGATTGCCAGATGTCTGATACATAAGGACAGTGTCTATGTCTAGAGGTTTACTTTGGAGGGAGAACGGTTACGGGAAGCAGCACAGCTGAACTTTGCCTCTTTGTCATCTTGAATTTTGTAAGGAAGCTGGGACTTACTTTTAATATGTCTCCTCTAATAAGATTCTCTTTAACATTTTCTTGTGTTAGCAGTTGATGCAATGCTAACACAATTTCTATAAAACTGCTGTGTGCGTCATTGGTAGAATTTGAATGGTTGCATAGGACTAAAGGAGGCAACTTCTCAGGTGAATAAAATTTTGGATAGGTGCTCTTAGAAAGGTCACAGTTCATTTGTAATTAGATGTTTCTTTCCTTTGCTACTTTATTTTTCAGAAAATACCAGGGTTTTTTTTTCCACAAATTACATATTGAATTCTGAACAACAATAGATTTACTAGTGTGATGAATAGTCAGTGGTTGGTTTTTTGAATTATCAAACCTTTTATAGCTTCAGTTTTCTTAATACAGTTAATTTTTCTTTTCCTCATGGACACCTTTTAATTTGGTGCAGGGAGTTGTTTTAATTTTATGTGTATGTTCATTCATCTCTTTCTAAGTAGTTATGTACTTACTCTGAATACTTTCAGTTTCAAAGTAAAAAATGTTACCAATCAGAGCATTCTAGTTTAAGTGAAAATTAGTTCTTGACTCATGAAAGGGTTGGTTTATTGTTTTGTTTTGTTTTTAAACTTTCCTATCCGGTACAGGTAATTGAGAACTTTTTTTTTTTTAGTATTTGATGGTTTTTGTCTTAAGTTCTTTTTTAACATGTCTTTGTGAACACTGAACAGAGGAAACCGACTGTCCTGCCTTTACTAAAAACTGATATATAAAAACTGTTTACATGTAGATTTCTTCTTTAAATTATAATTAACATTCATAACTATTTCTGCAAATGCTTTGCATACTGTTTCCTCTAAAAGCCAAGTTCTCAAGATGCTTGAAGTACTCATATTTCGTTATCAAATTTGGCAGCTGAGTATCAGTCTGACTTTAAATCCCTTAAACCAACAACAGAAAACAAACAAACAAAAAAACCAACAAACAAACAAAAACAAGAAAAGAAAAACTGTATTTTCTTTCCCTCCCTCAGTATCCAACAGAACCACCGGATTGCCTTGTGGATTTTCCTGTTCAGTTTGCTATTTCTTGGATGCCACAGGTAAAATACTGTACTATGCATCTTTTTTTAATAACTGAGATACATATACAATATGTAGGTGATAATGAGGGGTTGGACTCTATTTTTTAACTCCAACTTTTTTCCCTGTGTGCATTTTACTTGTATACATGCTTACATAAATGTAGTAATACTGAACTCCATATTTCTTGTGATAATGTTTTAAATATTTTCCTTGCCATATAGATATACCTTGCATGTTTTATGCTTTGCACTCATACTGGCTGTTTTTTTTCTTAAGCTGTTCATATGGCTGAAATATCTTTAGGAATGATATTGGGAAAATACATGCATGAGAAACAACTGTCATATAGAAAAGCAGCACCCTCTAAAGCTGACAGACATTTAAAAAAAGGCCATCTTCCAGTTTGTTATCCTATATAGTTTTCATAACATAATAAAACTTTTTCCGTTACAAGCAAAGGAACAGGAAAGTACTTGATAGAATTCTGATTTCATAGTTTAACTGATACTGTTAATATAAAGAACCAAGAGCCATTCTTTTTTTAGTCTCTCTTGCATTATTTCATGTATCTTTTTTCCTTAATAGAGCATGTGTACTTGATTAAATGGATTTAAATGTGAGCACTTAATGTAAGTTAATTTGAATTATCTCTAGAATGTAGTTTATGTTTAACTTCATTTAATTCAGGAAAATAGATTTTTACATAAACGATAGCGTTTCATAACTTTAAATCTCACAATGATTTTTATCCATCAATAAAGCCTGTCTTTATGGTACTAAATTTATGTAGGGAACATGGCTGAAAGGTTGCATTAGAATGATTTTAAGATGGGCATATAATTCTGACTGCAAAGCTCTAGGTTTTGTATGTCAGCTCAGATCCTTCAATACGAGAGGTAGAGGAAATAAGTGCAAGAATGGACCATTGCAAATGAAAAAATATATTTAGTTTCACATGTAATTTTAGGTTTTGATTCTCTGGTATGGTTTGACACAATTTAAACAGATGTTGTTTTTCCCTTAAATTATACTGGCTTCCATATACTGCAGGCAGGATTTCAAGTACTGTTTCTATCCTCAAACTTTATACATACTTTTAATAGTATTTTATTAATTTTGCAGCCTTACAATATATGTTGCCTCAGATTAACAACATTTCAAACATCCTTGGCAGTCATTGTTTCTCTGTGTTTACTGCTAGTACTTTTAAAGCTACTAGCTGGATTTCTGTTTTAATAAGATGTCTTGAAAAAACATGATATGAAGCAGCCTTCTTTGACAAGTTAAAGATGGGAGCGAATATATTAATATTGACACCACAAGCAAGCAAAAATCTGATGTTAAAAATATGCCATTCTGATGCTTGAGATCTTAAAGTCTTTTTACAGTTAGAATTACTTATGGACTATTTGAAAACATGAACAATAGGTGTTTGTATATAACTGAAGACCCTGTTTTGAAATCGTGAGATACTAATTCTAGCTGCAGGTAGGCTGCTATAATACTCAACCAAATACCAGCAACCTGTGCACTGTCCTGATAGAAATGCTTTAGCTGAACAGTCTTTTTTGAAACTTAACATTATCTGTGTGGGTGATACGAACCTAACACTTCTGGAAAAAAATGTGTGTAGTAATTGTGTAAGTTCAGTTTATTTTCAAAATGCACGGAAATCATTGCAGTGAGCAGTCTTCACGCTACGGTTAAGCTTAGATAATGCTGAAACACTGCTGGTAGCGAATTTAGCAGGTCCGCAAGTGGTTGAAAATTGTGGTTCCTAAAAGGGAAAAAGAACATGCTATACTTTGTTTCTAGTAAAATAGCATGAAGTTTTGATACTGATAGGTCTTAAATTTTAATATTTGTTTGTCATCTTTAATGTAAAAACTGACAAGGTTTAACTAAAATTATGCAACAGAATTTAAACTCCTATGAAAGAAAATATAAATAGATTTCAGATAATTGATTTACTATTTCAGTGTTTTTGTTGTGGACTTTAAACTTGAGGGGTTGTTGGGTGACTGGTTCCACACACACACACCCCCCCCCGCCGTATAATAATAGACATGGCTTTATGGCATCCATATTAAAAATGGGTAATTTTCCTTATGGTCCCTGTCTTCCTGCTGGGTTGATAATGTTTTGATGTATTTTTCTTTTGCTCTGATGAGAGGTCTGCTGCTGCTGCTCTGACATATTCATTTGGATGAATAATTATAACTTGCACAATGTCAAGCTGAAGATGGTAGGGTTTTGTGCGTCATGACAAGCCTAGTAGCCAGTGCAGGTGTCTCACAGCATGATCAGCAACAGCCAGTGTATTCTGGCTCAGAGGAGACATTTTAGAGTAGTAAGAAATCAGCACCAAGGGCAATGCTGCTGCTGCTAGTTAGAAGTGCCAAATAAATGCAGAGTGCTTCTCAATGACAAGTGCAAGAACATCTTATTTCAGTTATATTCTTTTTCTAAATAACCAGATAAATGTGCTGTCTCCACATTTTAGCATAGACTGTAAGCATCGTTCTGCAATTTCAGTGCATCTATGTTCTGCTGCCCTCACATCAGGGTATTGTTTCTATACTGACCACTGCCCACCTGGTTGACTACATGAAGGTCATGAGAGTGGAAATTAATGACTAATGAGGTCATGCAGCCAGCCAACAATGAAACAGTAATACAAGATTTAGAAGGTATAGTGGTATGAATGAGATTATTCTTCCTTTATTTTGATGAAAACACAATAAAATGCATCATAATATTGCTTTTTCTTTGCAAAGGAGCTTCACAGACACTAGCTTTATATGCAGCTATAAATACAAAAAATGGAGATTGCTGACAAGACAATTTATAAAGATTTCAGGGCGTTCTGTCTCTGATTTGTGCTAAGGATGGGGAAAATTGTTAAACTACTGTTTGTGAGAAATAAACTGTTTCCAAACAAATCTAAAGAATCATAAATTATTTAGGTGATCCAGGTGATCCCTTTTCCATCCAACAACTGTTCACTTTATTAAGTTGTATTCTATCAGTGAATTCATAAAGGACAAGGAGGTAACAGCACCTATAGTTTAGGCTACTTTACCTTTTCCATTAGGAGGCTTTGCAGTTGTTCTTAATTTTGGATAAGGAAATTTTGTGTTAGGAAGAATTTTAGGGGGAAAAAAATCTCAGACCAAAGATCACATTTTTAACTTCTCTTTAATAAATTTTAATAAATTGTGCTGTATTTACCTGAATTAGAATATTCTTACTACCATTTGATGACTATTTAGTTTATCCAGGATTTGGAGCAGGTGTTTGAAATGTGGCAGAATAGGCATATAGGCATATAGCGCTTCTTAACAGCTACAGAAGGTCTTAATGGATTTTATGGCAGGTGCAGACTCCAGACTTTCTTTTTATTCTTCCCAGTCTCTATGGCTCTAGAAATAAGAACCAAGAGTAGAATGGCTTTTTTTCCACTCCTTCTTATTCCTTTAATTGAAGGAAACAGTGTATGGGCAATAGGTGTAAACTTGGGGAAGTGTTTGAATAGGAATAAAGTTCAAAAAAAAAAAAGAGGGAAAGAATTGGCAGGAGGAGCTACCAGTGATGAGATGGAGATGGGAGTGCAGAGGATAGAAATGGAAACAAAAATGTTGTGAAACTATGTGAGACTCTTTCCTGGTAGCAGAGAAGGGTATGTTCCCCTCAAAAACAGATAGGTCCAGAATATCTGATTTTCACCGACCAAATTAAGTGCTTCGTCTCCTACCAGTTGTTGAAATGAATGGAGGATACATACAGTCTGGTAGCACAAAGGTAATATTTGGGTCAAAGTTTTCTGAAATTGCTGGGAATCATCAAAGTTGATATGTTTACATGTCAGTTTTCTTGTAACATAAGCAATTTAACCCAGTCTCTACAAACACCTGTTTTCAGAAGTTAAGATCACAGAATCATGGTGCTCCAAATTAACATTAAATTGCTGTTCAGTCCAAAGGACTGTTGGTATAGCTTGTGTCAGTATGTAACAGATTTTTGCCTTGTAGAGCCTTGAGGCTGAATATACGTGTTGTTGAGAGAGAAAACTGTCTGCTGAGGGTCACTTACAGTGCCTTTTCACAAGTCATCACTAGTTGTATTCTTTGTTTTCTACACTCACAACTAGAAATTTGAAAAATCTGGAGAAGCGTTCAGTGTTTAAAGTTATGACTGTGGTCAGAGGAGGTGATGCTCTAATAAAGACAGTCCTCTTAAAGCCAGGTGAAGGGATCTCAAGCTGAGTATTCCAAACTAACATTTTCTTAGCCTCTTATTTTTCCATATGAAAACTCAGGATGAGGCCATCTAATCTGAAAATGCGTTTTGATGATAAACCCAATGATGTTTTTGGGCTGCTGAGTTTCTGTGGTGGTCGCTATAGAGAGCTGATGGGAATGGGATCATTAAATCATGCAGCATATCTCTGTCAAAAATTTACCAAGCTCCCACTCGAAAGTAATGAGGTGTCCTGGGACTGTAAGGCTTTTACAAGACTTCAGTGCTCATGGTTGATGGGTCCTTCAACCAGCCCTAGCTCCAGGTATCTTCTACAGCTACCATAGTGTAGGTAGTAGTAGTTAATTATAATGTCTCCTCTTATGCTGTTTTGCTAGTCTAAACCAGTAAAACTTTTTTGACCTTGCCTAATGGTAGACTCTCCATTCCACATCTTAGAACCTCCTTTGTCCCAGATATGGTTGGTTTACTTGAGAAGGTCTGGTCAGAATCATACACAGTGTCTCGGCTTGGACCACACCCTCGCTAGTGCCATCTGCACTGACTTTAATAATGCCCAGTCAGCCTAGGGATGAGGAGCACAGCTGTAGAGGGATCACTTTCCAGCCAGTGCAATAGATCTCAGTCACCCCATAGAGGGGGAAAAAATAGTAGTATGTGATCAAATTAGAAAAGACTGTGACATCCACTTGCACAAATACCTGCATTAAGGTTTTGTGACTATTCCAGCTCTAATATTTCCTTACCTCTGCTAGCCAGTCATTACTGCTCGTATGGGCCGCTGATTTCAGTGTCCTCAGTGGTTAGAAATAAAATGCAAGGTTTACATTATATATTAAAAATAACTTCATTTTGTTTTAAGCTGTTGTGAAAGATTAAACTGCCAGAATGTTCTTTGTTTTTATAACGGATGTTTTGCCTGATGAGCATAGAAACCGAACAGATACAGGATGGAGTAACCAGTTTGGTTTTGCTAGTGCTTTTTAGAGTCAGGGCAACCAGTGATGATATTCTGAATTATGTATGTCTTATTTTCCAAAGAATACTTGCCATGTTTTATACAAATTCTAGTGCATTTGTACAAAGGTGACCAAGAAACAAAGAGTTTGAGCTGTTTGACATTACTAACGACTATCTTGGTGTGCTGTAGACCAAAAAAAGAGCATGATGGCAGTCGTCTTTTAAAAGTGTCATGATAGCAGTCTTTTTTTAAAAGTGTTGGGTAATGACCAAAAATTAGTTGGTTAATCAAATAAAAAGGAATGTTACAGTTTTCATAGTTTGCGTGACAAGCATGTGATGTATTTAAATAGCTATAGATGCATTTATGTATATAGCAGGAGACAGCTGGCAACATCAATGAAGCATGCAAATAAGATCAAATGAACAGTGCACTAAAAAAAAAAGATTTAACTACCTTTTTAAGGAACATCATTGAAAAATTACAATTAGTATTAAAATTAATTGGATTTTAAAACTTATCTGTGGGTTATAATCCCTTGATGTTTCTTTTTTCTAGTGAAACCCTTTGAATTCCCAGAAGATAAAGATAAAAATGATTATTAGAGGATTTATCTGTATGTGATACAGAAAAATGTAAAAAATCAAAATGGAAAGCAACTGTTGCAAGTACCAGAAAATTATGCTATTAATTTAAGTGTCATCAGAGCACAAAAGATCATATTTCAGGACTGTGTGGAAATTATTAAAATACTGGAAATAATAGTACTTAAGATGAAGATATTATACTCTAAGATGTGGTTAAGTGACTGACACTATTATATCACTTCAGGTATTATAGAAGTAACAAAATGCTTTTAAAGATAATAAGCGTTACATTTTGAGATTGGCAGTATTCACACTTTTCTGCTTAAGTGCTTTCCTACTTTAATATAATTTAATAACAGCAGGAAAAAATGTAGCATTTTATTTCTAAGCTACACCGTTTCTTTCTAAAGTATGCATGCATAAAATATAAAAACTTATTAGATATAAAAATCATATTTCTTCATCTGAGAATGTTCATATAATTTGCTGCTTTTTGTCCAGTGAGCAAGGGAGAACACAATGACTAAAGATTAAAGGAAATCATTCCATGGGTATTGTGTGTTATTTATAGAAAAATACCTCTTTAAGAACTGAACGTTTAATTTGCCTTTTCTTTTTGACCACAAGAATTTGTTCCCAGGCCAAAAGATACCTGAAATCTGGCCCTTGTTATATCTGTGTTGTTTTTCAAAACATACTTTACCATCTCTTTATCTGAATTGAGTAAGTCTTATCAGTTCTCTCCTATCCTCCTTGCTCTTTACTCGCGCATTTGATTGTTCAGTTGTGTTCTGTGTAAACGTTTTCAAAATATCCTTTGGTGCTCCCAAATGATCCCTCATTTTCTACTCTTGAGTTTCCCACTACCAAACAATTTGAGAAAACGAGTTATGGGGGGAAAGTTTGTCTCCAAAACAATTCCCCCCACCGTTGATCTCTCTTCGCTGCCACCTTTTGTCTAGTTTCTTGATGCCTTCACTTCATCACTCCCCAGGAAGCCACGTTCTGACGGCTCCTTGTTCTCCTACTGGTCTCTTCATAACACGTCCCAGTTCTTCCACCAATTCCATCTCACGTCAGGCTCAAAACCCCTATGGGGTTTTCTGTTGCTCCAAATAGAACTCCTCTCTCTCCTCCTCGCACATTCTTCATCTCCTTTCGCTTCCCTAAATTCATGGGTTTTCATCTGGGCATCTGCGTTTGGAAAGGCGCTAAGGTGGCTGCCGGGTGTTTTTTCTACTTGAAGAAGCCTTTCCTCTTAGAAAGAGTTATTTATTTTGTGCTCACTGACGGTTTAAAACAGACTTCTCTTGCATTGCTGTTCTGTATATTGTCCTGTATAATGAAAGATTTTTCTGATTCCATCTAATCCACTCTCAAATATTGAAATCCCTTGAGTGTAATCCTCTGATTATTAGATGGTTTCTCCTTCTCCTCCCATGTTTACATGGCTTGAAATCTAATGTTAAGTACCTGTTTTTATACTGCTTAATTTGCAGAGAATTGTGACATTGTTAGGCTATATTTCCTAGAGTCTTTAAAAAATAAACAAGCTATTTTAGTTATGTGGGTGTTTCTGTGTATTTATATTTGGTACCACTGCCATGATGCTCAGCTGAAGTAGAGAGAAAATACCAGAACGTTAGAAGTTTAATAGTAGCTAATGATGATTTTTACTTTAATTTTACAGTAGTTTGTTACACATCACAATGCAAATTAATAGTTATCAGTTTTCAGAAAGGTTTTCTGAAAAAGAGCATAAAACACTATCAAATCCAGGTATGATGATGCATGTTAGAACTACCGGGATTAGAGAATTGACGCTGTCCTCAGGGTACAGATATTCTTTGTGTTACTTCAACTAAAACAACTGTGAGGTTTAACATTTTATGCTGCCACGATGCACCTGGATACATACTGGATTTTAACACTTAAGTTACTTACAGTTTGTTTTTTAAATATGGAAACTATATGAAATTTGTTTAAATTTCTTCTTTTCTTAGAACTCCTTAATTGACATTTATAACCAGTTCCTGGTGGCATTAGAATCGCTGAAAGAATTCTGGGATACCATGGATGAAATTGATGGGAAGACATGGGTGCTTGAGCCAGAAAATCCCACCCGGAGCGCTACAGCAAGAAGAATTGCAATAGGTACGAAAAGGTTTGAAGGAATACAACGGGTTTGAGAAGTAAAACTGGGGGTGCTGCTTTGCTTTGCTCATCTAATCAGATGGTGCCTGTTAGAGTTAGGAAAATGAAAGGTAGCAGTTAAAACCAGCAAGACACAACTCTCCTATTTTGTGTATTGAACAAAATAACCTTCCACAGAATACTGAACATGTTGAGGAAATTAATTGCAACTTAACTGTGCTACCTAAAATGAAAGTTTCTGCGGGAAAATACTGCGTATTTTTTTAAATTATGAACATAGAATCATAGAATCATGAAGGTTGGAAAAGACCTCTAAGATCATCAAGTGCAACCATCAACCCAACACCACCATATGCCCACTAAACCATGTCCCGAAAACATATAACTGTCAAAAACTGAGGACTTGCATGATAACTCTAGAAAAATCTGTATATGTAAAAAAAAAAAAAAAAAAAATCAGCTTAGATGAAGCCCTTATCTCATTCACAAATTTCAAGTTTATGAACAGACCATAACTTTAGACTGCTCCTGTCCTGGAAGAGTGGAGGGAGTATCAGAGTGCAGTTGAAAAGGGGGTTAAAAGAGGCAGGCGGAAAGGACAAAGAAATAAGAGAAGAGAGGAGATTAGAGGCTGACACTGTTAAAGCATCCCAAAAAGTACCTTAACTCATATGCTGATGTCTGGCATTTTAAGGTCTTAATATATTTAGGATAAAGGGGTCTTGTAATTGCAAAGGAGAAACCTGCCACTGTCCGTCAGAGGTTAGAAATACAGGGGGGAAATGTTATCTTTGAAAGAAGAGTTCTGATTTTTAGCTTAAGTCCAAAATATCAATAGCATATTGTAGAAATCTGAGAACATACAATGGACCAAAGTAGACCTAAGTCGTCCCCGAAACCTGCGGAAAGACAGACTGCCTGCAGCATGAAGAAGGAAAGGAGCTAGTGGGGTGCTGAGGCTGCTCCTTCACTGGGGTGGAGGGAAGGACAGAAAAAGTTCAGCAGCTGGCTAAAATGACATGGGTCGGACACCACTTCTTTGTGTGAGTGGGTGTGTGTGGGCAGTCAGGGTGGCTTTGTCTTGGTTCTGCTGTACTTTGACACAGACCAATAAAAAGGAAAGAAAAGCCTCAAAAAGCGCCTCGTGTTAGATCAATGGAGGGCAGCACAAGGCTTTGAGCCTTTTGTGGTCGGCCACAGACAATCTCCAGTTATGGCTAAACTTTGATTTCATTCATTCCAATTTCTTCAAGGAGGGTAAGCCTAACGTGCATCTTAATCACAAAACATGTTGGGTTTCACCTGTTTTTATTCAGAAGAGAATTTACTGTGAGGGTATTAACCTGGATCCAGAACATTTTTGAGCTGCTTACCCCTTATGCATAGCAGACCTTATAAGGATGATGGGGTATCTTATAAAAGAAAAATATTTGCTATTTCAAAAGTACTGTTCGCTCAGTCCAGCAGAATGCTGTGGAGGGGACTGACTTCTGCTGCTTAATATTGTCTTTGTGCTTCTGGTTTTGACTATAAAAGATAATGAGGAATTAATAACAATTACATCTCTACTACCTTTAAAACTTCACTAAGATTTCAAATGGATTATGTCACCTAGCTTGAGTTTGATTATTCAGGAATTAGTCTAAGTGATAAGGTTAAGACTAGTCTAAAAGAAATGCAAGACTGGCAGGTTTTTTTAATCAGTTGCTACTCTTAAGTAGAGTCCAGTGAAAGTTAAATATTTGATATATACCGGTATTTTGTACAATTAATTTGGATACCTACCAACTTTTTTATTATTTATTGTAACGGAAAACTAACCAACTTAAAGCTGCTTTTTAAAAAAAAAAAAAGTCATGTTTCAGTTTTCAAATACTTGACTGCAAAGAAAAGCTTCCCCTATGGCTTACATGTTTTTTCATTATAGGGAACAACGTCTCTGTGAATGTAGAGGTAGACCCTCGGCATCCAAACGTGCTCCCCGAGTGTTATTTTCTTGGAGCGGATCATGGTAAGGCAGTGGATGTGCACGTCTGTTTCTCTTCTAGAATCTGATCTCTGGTGAGCAGATACCAGTGTAAGCTGTGTCAGACTACTGGGGAAAACTTTACTTAAGCAGAGCCAGGAATTAAGCTGAGTATGTGCATAGGAGAGTTTTACACAGTAGATGCTGGGCTTTTTAACAGCCTAAATCCATAGCATGCTGGTTTGCTCTGCGAGTGATGCTTTTTTCCAGTGCCTTCGGAGCGCAGTTTAGAGGGAACCCTGTGTCCTACAGATGATTACCCAATCCTGTTTATATTTTAATATAATTGGGGGGGGGGGGGGGGATTTAAATTTACTACCTCTGTCCTAATAGTGGTTGGAAATATTTAAGCCTTTTCTTCCATGTCCCACAGCTTTTTTCCAACTCTTTAAGGTAACTACAATCCTATCTTCAACAGTATTTTAAATGTTAGCGTAATAAATTCCCCAAACCAACAAGTAAGAGCAGTCATTGACTTTAAAGTACTTAACTACTTAAAAAACCCTCAACTCATGCCTTCCCCTTCAGTGCTGAAATATGAGGGGTTAAACCGGGGTGGGGGGAGGCGAAGCGGAGCCTGGGGGTGATGTAATTATTTATGCACATTGTTTGCAGTGGTTAACCCTTTGAGAAGTAAGCTGAACAATGACATGCACTTATGGTAAGCATCTTTAATCATATAGGTTTGATACTGAAATGGTATTTGCCATTCCTAGAGTTGACTCTTTTCCTCCCTCTCTCCCACCTGCAGGGATCCAGAAATCAGTTTACTGCAAAACTTGAAAGACCTCTTAGAAATTGATTTTCCATCCCGTGCTGTGTTAGAGAAAAGTGTGAGTTGCTTTTTGTTAATGCTCAGTCGTTATTTCTCAATAGGTAAAATTTAAACGGTCACTGCATAACTGCCAGCAAATTAAGAGACTTGGAAGGGAGTTAATTGGATTAATATATTGTCAAAAGGACTTCTGAACTTCAAGCAACAGTTGTCAGAGCTTGTTAGCCTTTGATTGGAGGTGCGCACTTTCCTGCGGCCTTCATAGCAGTAAGGCGATTGAAAGAGGAAGTTCCAGAGTAGCTAATGAGATGTGGAAAATCCAAACATTCTGTTATGGATGTTGATGACTTAAGTTCTAATTAGGTAGAGCTGCTTAGAGGGGACAAGAGGCCATCCAAATACTGGTGCATTTCAAACCAACTTGGAATTAATTTTTGACAATGCTGTAGTGCTGGATTACTAGCTTTGCTTCCACTTGTGAAATTTTTAAATTAGTATCTGACTGTGAGGTCTGTGCCTGATTGTACAAATGTAATGACAAATCGTTGCATTTAATAGAAAAGAAAGAGTGGGGCCCAAGAGTATGAAAACGCTTGTCAAACGAGACGTAATTCAGTGAGAGGACAAACTATAACCTGCCAGAGTCTTGTATGTCTGGCAACTAATCTCACTCTTTACACCATAGTGGTGTAAATGTATATATATTGAAGGCAAAAACAGGTAGTAATTCTGAGTAACAAAAAATGCAAAGGCAAATAGATGAACACCTTTTCTGTGTTACCAGCCCTGTTTCTTCCTTTCAGTCGTACCATAAACTAAAGCACGTTGTGTTTTAAGGATTTTGCTAAGGACTGTGGAATCTGCTATGCCTATCGCCTCGATGGCACGACCCCAGATCAAGTGTGCGATGACCCCCGATGTGGACAACCTTTTCACCAGGCTTGCCTGTATGAGGTAAAGCATTTAACTCAGAGATTCTAGAAAATAAGCATTGCCCACTTAAATTTCAGATGAAGTGAAGTCCTTTAAGGAGTGCAACAACTGTCACTGTGCTTCCTCTTCTCTTCTAACTCGCAGTTCATAAATAAGCTCTCTGCAGAAGGGAACCTGCCCCACTTTGTGGTTGCACAGACTCTGACTTGACATGTGCCATGTTGACCAAATGAACTTAAATTTGATATGGAACAAATATGAATTTTAATCCACATGCTTTTGTTGCAGTGGCTGCAAGGTCTTGCTTCTAGCAGACAAAGTTTTAATGTCATCTTTGGTGAATGTCCGTATTGTAATAAGGTAAGGAAATCTAATGAAAATGAGTGATTCAACTAAACAGTGTGCGGTAGCTTAAATAAAGGCAAAAACTGTTAACAAAGTCATCTTAAAACTGAATTTTGTGGCCGCTGTCTTCCCTTTACCTGTTGGGATAAAGAAAGGGAAACTCATGCATTTAATGCACCAGTATTTAACGAAAGGTTTTCTGAAATAGGATGAAGACAGGTAACACACCAGTTACCAACATACTAGTGGGAGAGTAATTAAATATCACGCCCCATTGTATTTCATGATACTTTTTTAATGTTGCTGTAGCAAAGGTCCAGTTTCAAAAAAAAAGAAAAAATAATCCCAACATTTGTAACACAAAACAGCCTTGTAAAAACAGTTTACTGCATACATAACTATTGAGTGCAGATTTGGAAAGTTTAAGAGACCTTGCCTGTAAAAGAGATGTACTGACAGTATTATTTTAAAAAATCTTTTTCAAGCCCCTGACACTGAAATCTTCAGTGAGGAAACTCTGAGAAAAAACTGCATAACGGGAACTCTGCTGCACTTACACTGAAGACACTGAAACAGTGACATCAAAGAAAATACAAGGAAAGTAATATTAGTAGCAGAAGTACAAGTATAGCTACACTGTATGGGTATGTTTCATCAGCAAATGCCAGCCTAAATAGAACAGGTACAGACGGACTGGTGATGTCAGAACCAGGTTCTTGCAACAGTAGTGGATGATCTGCAGTTACGAGCTGATGGTGTTGCTTTTTGGATTCTGAGAATATTGCTTGGGGGTCGAATGGTGGTAATCCTCTTGCAGTGTCTTCCTGCAGGGGGGGAAAAAAAGTTATAATAAACTTCAATATTGAATAATGAGATGTGAATCGGGAAGACAAAGATACCAAAGACAACATCTGGTGATTTAAGTTATCCCACAGAAAGCAATGCAATTCTCACAAATTCTTAACTCTGGAAGTTGCAGGTGTAAGTATAGTGTATATTCTGTGTACAACACTAGGTATGATTAAACACCTTCTAAAGAGACATACTCTATATTTAATTACTGGACAGCTGAAATTCTTCTGTATCTTTAACTTGTTTCTAAGACATGTTAATAGATTTAGTCTTTACAGTGTTCCTGCTAATAAAATTTGAGCCTGGAAACCCTAAGCATTACTTTGTATAAGTTTTTGCATTTCCTAGTGAAGCTAGAGTTCTCCTGATTCATCACAGACAGCATAAATATGCTAGTAGTGTGGGCTTTGGTCTGGGTGGTGGTTGGGGTTTTTTAGGTCTCCAGAAGCAGCATCATCCTTAGCTTACCTGTTTGATCTCTGTCTCTGAAAGGAATTCCCAACACTGTGATGTTGTTTCACACATAAGACTTGACCATATTTTCCACTGTCCTGTAGAAAAACTTCAACCCTGGACATACAGTTTTCTTGGTGAAAATTCATAACCTCAGGGGTGTTTCTTGTTTTAATGAAATATGGGCCCCATCTAATAGAAAGACACTGTTCTGCCCAGCTCTTGTTTTTTCTTATGTCATGTTGAAATCCTAAATATGGCACTCCTTCCCTATTTCCTGCTTTCTTAGGACTACAACAGCAGCTTTTATACAAAATGTACAGCAGGGAGGAGATTTGGGGGAGAGGTTTGCTACCTTTTGGGTTTTTGCTAATACTTTTTAAATTATACAGTTGAGGACTAGGAAGTAGCACTGGCATATCTTCATATTATAAAGTTGTATTTGTTACTCTGAGTCACTCTTGTGTCAGGACTCCAGAGGCTTTTCAGAGCCTGTCTACCTTGCCATCAGCCAAAACAGCTCCAAAAATTGCTCTGCTTGCCACTTTTGATGCTCTCAGGTACAGCTGTGCTTGTACCTGAGGCTCTAGGCAGTGATCAGCAGACTGCTTGAAGCAAATAATTTTGCATTAATAATAAGATAGCTTTAAAGTTGCATTTTTTGTGCTTATTAGAAATTGTCCTCATTTAACAAGTTATTTTTCTATATGAAAGGAAAACAAGCTAGAAACGCTCTGTTAAACTATACTTGAACTCCATGGGAAAGGAGCAGGGTGATTACTGAGATGTACTTTGTTCTGCATTATTTTTACTAGAACCTTGATTAATTTTTTTCATCAATTTTTTCATGTACAGTTGAAGAGTAAGCCTGAATACATTCATTCAACCCTTCTATGCAGTAAATTACCAGTAATATTTGAGGTTAGTTAACTACTAAAATTCACAGATTAAAAAGTCTGAATTCAAGAACTTAATTAAGAAGTGCTATGAAGTCTTCCATTACATAGAAAAGGAAACTACTGAAGGAAGTTTCTACCAAGAAAACAACAGACTTTGCAAATGGAGACTGTTGTTTCCCCATCGCTTTTATCTGTTGGGCAGAGACACTGGTGCAGTGCTTCACAATCGAACTATAAAAAACCGGAGTGTTAGTTTGGTAATAAGCAACTATACACAAACTTTTAGTGTTTGTGGCAAACATCTAGTTTTTGCATACATGTAGTTTAGGGTTTGTTTGTGGTGGCATGGTTTGTTGTTGTTTGGGGTTTTTTTAAACTCTTGTTTTTTAGAACAGCTGATCCTTCTTTTGCAGGGTGCCATGACCGGCCTAAGGTAAAACCAAAAACCTCACCTGTTGGGGGTGGTCAGGCTCCTGAAGCATAGTGTGAAATTTAATTGGCTTCTCTTCAGCCTGGAATTGCCGGTGTGTTACCCGAGTGTGGGGCCTGCTGAGGCAGTTTGATTCTTCCTCTTTCACCTTGTTGTGCTGCTGTGGCACTGGTTTTGGCGAAGGCTTCGGTAAGTGAACCTGTTGACGTACAGATAGTAATTCTGTATGCTGAAAAGAATTGAGTAACGTTCAAAATTATCACAGGTAACCATTCCAATACTTGGACCTCTCAGGTTTGAGACAGGCAGTGGGGAAGGGTAGGGCCCTGTCTGCACTGATTAACCAGGCTATACAAGAAACTTACTTGGGAGTTTTACAGTTGGAATAATAGAAGCCAGTAAGCATATCTATACTTCTGGGGCTTGAGACATAGCTCCTGGCTTTTTTCAAGCACTTTTCTTCCTTGCCCACCCCCACAGGGCTACATGGGCCTAACAGAGCAGACAAACTCCCAGGACATACCACGCATTGCTTGTGATGCCCAAATCCTCACCTGCTGAGGCTCCCTTTGGTGAAGCATCTGGATTAATTTACTTAGCTTTCCTTCGTCTTGGAGTTGTTTGCCTGTTGCCCCAGTACAGGCTTTGTTTGGACAGACAGATTCTTCACCTTCCATCTTTTTTTGCTTCTGCTGAACTGGTTTTGGTATAGGCTTTGGTAAGCGAACCTGTTGACATACAGCGCACAATTTTGTTAGTGAAAAAAGTCAGTATTTCAAGAAGAAAAAGGTTCCATCTTCAGTTCTGAGAACACAGAATGAGAGTAAGCTTTTATCTTTCTCAAAATAATTGTTTTCAGCATTTTAATTATCAATACATGTCTTCTTCAAATAGTGCAAATCTAGAGCTATGCTGTATATATAAAATAAACGTGAGTTGTACGTTTTAAAACATTCACTAATAACCTTTCTTGGGAATGATGCCAATAAGTCACTGTTTGTTTCATTAACCAGTAGAGCTGAATGCATTTCCTATCACTGGATTGAGTCACGCAAAACTCTATAAAGAAAGATAATCACCGCCTCTTCTGACTTGGGCAATCTAATTTAAGAGTCAAGTCTGTAAAAGAACGCAAGTCTCCTAAAATGTAAATGGGGAATACACTGTGAATAGTTGCATGAATTAATGCAAGTGTTTTTTCCTGTGCTGCTCTATGCACAAAGTATCAAACGATGCCTGGTTTTGGCTTTTGGAACTTGGAAGACGAACGGAGCCAAAACACAGGCTTGTATGCCACATGCCTTTGGTGCTTCTGGCACGCTAATAACTCTGTAACTGTAACGTTTGCATATGGTCCTCTATGCAGCAGCTGTATCTGAACGTAGCAGCTAAAAAAGAAATAATGGGCTGCCTTTTTTATACTGCCAGCTAAACACATACAGGAGATAGACAGAAGCCGCACAAACTAAATACCCTTGAAAGCGCCAGTAGGCACTTCATAACATTGCTTAATCCAAAACACCTTTTAAGGATATAATCCTTAGTTCTGCTCTGAGAAAGCGATTAATGTTTAGAAACACCGAGGTGTGTAACAGCAACTCGAGCTAGCTTCAGTCTACACCGGAACAAAACACTGTAGGTAGCCCTGAGAAAAGGAGTTACACAGGTGAGGCCAAGCCCCAGGCCGACGGTTACCTGGACACAGGGAGCCAAGCTGCTTTCTCCGCACCACGCAAGAACCGCTAACCTTGTCGACAGCCACCTCTGGGATCTTCACAATGTGCACACACTTTAAACAGCTACCTCACTTTCAAAACAGGACTTGGAGCACTTGTGAAAATATTTATGCTATGCCTAAAAATTACTATATTCCATACTAATAGAAGTTACAGGTTGCTATTGATGCTATCTTTTAATGTGAAATCTACAAAATCTAGCATGTAGTCAGCTGGCCTTACTGTGCTAGCACTTCCACTGTAGGTGAAAAATCCGAACGTTATCTATCCAGTGCCGAAAATTGTGGTAAACAAATTTAGGAATTAACACAATTAATATTTTATCACCTAAGTTTGGTATGCAGTTGAAACAAAGAACCAGGATGTAGCCATGTCTTATGTCACGTCAAGATTAAATTAATGTACTATACAGGGACCTGCATCTTAAAATTAGTGTTCTGTAGCAATTCCTCTTCACACTATCTTCAAGGAACTAGTGTTACAGGTTCCTCTTATTGGTACTCACAGGTGTTTACTGGTCTTCAGAAGGGAATTAACCCAAAATCACCTCTTCCCTGTGTACCAAACTGGTACAGGTGGAGTCAGACAGGTCATCTGGAGTCAGATTCTGCTCATGAGGCAGGAGTGAGGAGACAGTGGATTGTTTGTAGTGGCTCCCACTATTCTTAGGTTGCCTCTTTAATGGGAGAAGTATTTGGTGAATAAAAGGAGAGGTGGAAAGGGAATGCAGAGGGCTGAGATGAAAAGCGTCAGCCCTAGGATAACTAGAGACAGTGCCCTGAAGAGATGCAGTGGGAAGTGCCTGCCTGTCATCGAGCGCTTTGTCAGGACTGTAGCGCCAAAGCGCACCAGGCCTCAAATATCCTCCATGGCCAATAACCACAGATTGAAAAATCAGATTTTCTGAAAATAGCAATAAATTTAGAGAAAGTTCAGTCATCTGCTCTCTCCACTTGTATTTTAAGTACTCCTTAAGTCCTTTGAATAACCCTAGAAATCTCCTTTCTGCAGCTGTTTTGCAGCAAATGTTACAGGAAACTGGCACACGTAAGCAGCTGAAGAAACACACTCCAGTGAAAAATAGGCGATCACGGGAGCAGCGCTGGCATTCTTACTGTTCCAAGCAGCACGACACTCAACATCAAAAATTG